ATGTGACAGTACACAACAAGAAAAGAAAAAGATAATAATAATTAAAAAAATTAAAACAAAAAACTTATTGTTGTTGGGTCAGACTCACAGCTGATCTTCCAGCTATGTGGCTCTAAACTGCCTTGGGGGGAGAATGCCCACCGTTTTTCCCTCAGAGCCACTGGCAGATTCGAACCATCAAAAAAGCTTATTCGGTCAAAGCAGAGATCAATTTAAGAATAAAAAATTTTAGGAGCTCTGGTGGCCTAGTGGCAAGAAGCTGCACTGCAACCCCAGAGGCACACAGTTCAAATCCACCAGATGCTCTGCTGAAAAAGGAGGGACAATCTCCTCCTATACCAGTCAGATCCGATTTGACAGTACACGCACACAAAATAATTTAAAAAAAGAATAAAAAATTTTCATTTCTTTTATTCCTTGCTGTCGCTTAAGCAGCCAGCAACTATTTAGAAACTCTTACAAAAGTAGATAGAATACAGGGGACACTTCAATTTATTGTGCCCTGGAAACTTCTCTAAACATCAACCAAACAGCCCAAAAGAATGTCCTACTCAACAGTTCCGAGGATGTTACTAACTGCTTCCATCTGTTTCCCTCTCTTTACCCTCCCTCACCCAAGTCAATGCATCTATTGAAGTTATTTTCTGCTTCATTTTACATTTTAAGCAACAGTAAAATTAAGAGTTATGTTTTACACTGCAGAATACTCTCCCAAAATTTGTGTGACCACCACCTCCACACTCTCTTTGTAGTTTAGGCTATTTTCAAGCAACATTCCAGATTGTGGCATAATAGGTTAGATACGATTTTTAAACCACTCAGTAGTTTTTCAGTTGATGTAAATACACTATTTTTCCCTGAGTCACTGAGAGAGATTAAAATGTTTCTCTCTTGGCAGCAACACAAAGGTTTTCAAATCCTCAACCGTTTCACCCATTCATAGACCTTGCCTAAACCAATTGCTTCTTTAAAAGCTACACAGGTGTTTTCCTAATCCTATCATTCCTTACACATTTCCTGGTTAGAATTTCCTTCATCAACTATAGCTATCAGGGTACCCTGAAACAAAGTTTGTACACAAGAAGCTTTTGATCACCAATTTTGGAGTCAGGAGTTGGTTCACTACCTGTCAACAGTGATCAATGAATTTTATTTTGTTTTTTAAGTGTCTACATTCTTGAAAACTTTCACATAATTAGGATACACATCTTGCTAATTTTTCTAAGTGCTCAAGGAAGTCTTTCAGAACATGTAGCCCATTTCAAAACTTTATCTCTTGACAAAGCCTACTTATCAATCAAGTAAGTGATAGTCATTGATTTGAACCTCAGGATTGAAATGAACCATTTCATCTAGTCCAAATACCATCAGATGTGGAAACCCTTTGTGTATAAACTAGTATGTATGTTGCTGTAAACATTCTCAAGAATGACAAAATAAAAAACAAGTTTAAAATACAAAAATAAACATGTAAAAATAAGCAAACTATACCATATAACCTGACAATATACACAAAATAATAATCATATCAGCTTTAATACCATTTTGGTAATAATAAAAAATCTAGGTACAACTTAGATGTTTATCAAGAGAACACCAATGCCTACAGCAATCTCAATGAAATTCCAGAAAATTATGCTGGGGGGAAAAAAGGTCAATCCTCCAAAAGTTACGTACACAACATGTTTGAAATTTACACAACATGTTTGAAATGACAGAATTTTAGGAGTGAAGAACAGAACTGTAGCTGTCGAGGGGAAAGTTCAGTCAGAAAGTACGGAATACAGGAGGAGGTGGATGTGGCTTTAAAATGGCTACGCAAAGAATCTTGCAGTGATACAAATATTCTATATCTAACACTGCGTCAATGTTATTCTGACTGTGATGTTATACTCTAGTTTTCCAAGAATTACCACTGGGAAAACTGGGTGAAGGGAAATGGATTGCTGTATATTTCTTACAAATGCATTTGAACCTATAATTACTTAAAAATAAAATTTAAACACAAACAACACACAACCCAACTTTATCCAACATGTCATCTTACTTCGTACCTTTCAGTGAATATGGAACAGACAACCTGGAACAAGCTATGTTTTTAATGTACCTTGAATATGTAAGCTTAATGATAATGTTTAACTGTTACATAGGATTCCTCTGATATGACCATGATTATGGAATAACACACAAAGTATGATCATAGAATTTGTAACTGTAAAGATATGCCCCTCCCCCAAAAAAATCCATAAACCAGATTCTACCAAAAAAAATAAACCCCAAAACCAGATGCTTCCTACACCTTACGTGCTAGCATATGAAGATATGTTAGAATATTAATAGAAACATATTTCGACCAAAGTACCTACTCAAATAAATTAAAAATAAGAAGGTATCAATGTGGGTTAAGATTTTACATCTGTTCAATGAAAATAACAGCATAAGAAGGATAAAATTAACACTTTAAGCTTTATTTAAAAGTAGGATTAGAAAAGAATGATACATACACACAAAGAAAATTACATAAAGTTTATGTATAATATTTCTTTTTAAACATCCATGGAACCCGTTAACTAAGTCAAGAGATGGCTCTCATCTACCTCTCCCTAAACATAAGCTGCTCCCTCCCTCTCTCCCAGGATATCATTGCCTTGTTCTTCATGATGAATGCCATGCTTATTGTTATTATTTTATAAAATAAACAGGTAGAGCTAAACAATTTACTCCTGCATGTTTCTGAACTTGAAATAGAACTTGTCTATAGTTTACTTCTCTTTAAATATTTTTAGATTCATTCACTAGTTTTTATTACAGATTACTATTCTAACTTCACTATGATTGCTTTTATCCATTTTATTTCAGACAATGGGAGTCATTATGAACAATGCTGGTAGAGATTTTTTAATATATACATATAAATACCAGCATGAGTGAGATATATATATATATATCTCTAGGGCACACACTGCCTATCTTAAAATTTACTAATGCCAAACTTTGTTCCAAAGTGTCTGCACCAATTTACATTCCCAACAACAATATACAAAAACCATTTTTTAACATTCTCATCAACTGATATTTCAAGCTTTTTAATGTAGGGGTTTATAATCAAGTGCTTTGATTACTTCTCTGATGACAAATAAAATACAATTACTTATCTGATAACAAAGAAAACAATATCTTTTCATACATTTAGAGGCCTTTTAGATTTCTTCTCTTTTGATGTACCTATTCAACAGTCTTGGCACCAGCAGCCAGGAAATTAAAAGGCGCATTGCAATGGAAAGTCTGCTGTTAGGGACCTCTCCAAAGTGCTGAAGAGCAATGGTGTCTCTTTGGAGACTAAGGTGCGTCTGATACAGGACATGGTCTTCGCAATCACCTGTTATGCATCAGAGAGTTGGACAATGACCAAGGAGGATAGAAGGAGAATTGATGCCTTTGAGCTGTGGTGCTGGAGAAGAGTACTGAGAATAACATGGACTGCTAGGAAAACAAACAGATTTGTCCTGGAAAGGGTTAAACCGGGTGGCTCCTTGGAGGCAAGGATTCTGAGGCTCCGTCTATCATACTTTGGACATGTTGTGAGGAGAGACCAGTCCTTAGAGAGGGACATCATGCTTGGGAGGGTGGAGGGAAGGCGCAGGAGAGGAAGGCCCTCTATGAGGTGGATTGATTCAGTGATTGGGATAATTGGGATGGGAGTGTCAGAGACAGTGCAATTGGCACAGGACAGAGCGGAGTTTCGGGCTGTTGTACATAGGGTCACTATGAGTCGCAGGCGACTCGATGGCACGTAACAACAACAACAACATTCAAATCTTTTGCCTATTTTCTTTTTGAATTGAGTAATTGTGTCTTATTCTTAATGACTTGTAGTTTGACTTATGCATCATTACCTTTACATAGGATTTCACTGTCCCATGGAAAAAAGCTATCAATCACAGAACCTGAGGCTTACCTAATCAAAAGTATCACTGCTTTTTTTATTGTTGTCGTTGGTAAGTATGGAGTACAACTAATAGTGAACAATCTGAATTTGGTCCTAATCCTGTGCCACCAGTATCATCCTCGACACATCTGAGTCCATTGCTGAAGACACTGCATCAATCTATGTCAGTGAGAGCCTTTCTCTCCTTCAGTGACATTTAACCTTTTCAAGCATGATGTCCCTTTCTAAGGAATAACCTTTCCTAACAACATGTCCAAAGTATGTGAGATGAAGCTAGTGAAGTTTACTCACAGCCCTCAAAGCACCCTCACATCCCTCCCAAGCAACAGCAGCAGATTCACAGAGAAGGGCCAGTCTGAGCCATCCTCATCGGGAGAAGTCAGTAGGCTAAGCCAAATTCTGTTGATATTAGGGATACAACGTTTACTGGACAGTTTGCTATATTGTCTAAGGGGTGAAGGGTAAAAAGGTGGGAGGAAAGGAACCTCACAGAGCTGCTTACTTTATAATTCGTGTATGCATATGCTTGTTTGTTCATAGTTTACTTTTCTGACTAAAATTTACTGTACTAAGGTAGTTTGCTGGTTGCTGTGATGCTGGAGGCTGTGTCACTGGTATTTTAACACCAGAAGGTCATCTATGGTGGACAGCAAAAGCTTTCAGCAAAGCTTCCAGATTAAGACAAGGATGAAGGACTAGCCATTCTTTTCTGACATAATGGGTCTTTAAAATCCTATAAGGTTATTTTACAGAGGATGTATTAAAATGTTAGAAAATATTTTTTTCTTTTAGAAAATATTTTTAAGAGTATTGGGTAAAATGTAAATACAATTTCCACTTAAAATGCTATGAAATGTTTTAATTTAAAAATATTTTTCTCTACCATTATTTAGTATTTTGTATGAAATTCAGGTTCATGTCCACTATACTCAGAACATGTTTCTGAATCCTTTCCATTATAGAAACAAAACTTAACTATGTTCTAAATTATAACGTAAAGCAGAAATAAAAACAGCAATAGTAGCAAACCTGAGAATTTGTAATCACTCACTTAATAAATGCTGGTGGCATGTCTCTCTTCAAGATCTGATCCTCAGTGGTCTGCACAGTCTCTTTTCCAACCTATGGGGGTAAAGAGTCACAATTCAAATATAAATTTCCAGATTAAAAAGAAATTATTTTAAAATACTTAAAACATTTACACATTCTACCCTTGAATTTTCTTAATTCTTAAAATGAAATTTCTGGATTGGGGAAAAAAGTCTTAAGAGTGTTCCCATAAGTTTCCACAACATATGTGGATAATAATATGAAGTACAAACATCATGTTAGAGTACACCTTCTCCAGAGGCATTCATTTGAAGACACCATTCAGCACAGTAAGAAATGCACTGTTTAGAATATATATGTGTTAAGTGACAAAACCTGCTATTCCCCTTTAAGGGCATATGAATCACTGGACCAACTGCTATTGTTGCAGGTTATCAAGTCAGTTCTGACTCTCAGCTACCCTCCAGGGCAGAGGTACTGTATGGGGTTTCCTTGTCTGTAAATCTTTATAGGTGCAGATCGACTCTGAGTTTCAACTGCCAACCTTTACATTAGCGGCCCAGTGCTTACCCACTGCGTCACTAGGGCTCCTCTGCACCAAGTTAGGCTAACATGTCTATACACAGCGGGGAAGGAAGTTACCAGGACTGGGAAAATATTTCACACAACTATGATTCCGAAATTAAAAACCAAACTTCTGAAACTATGCAACTAGCATTTCAAATCCACCAGCTATTCTGTGATAGAAAGATGGGGAAATCTCTTTCATCTGATTTACTGCTTCTGAAAACCCACTGGAGGATCAGCTATGACTCAGTTCTGACAACAGTACTAACAACAACAGTCAAAAACAAATTCCAGCATGGATCAATGGTGATTAATTTTATGAAACACAATGTTTGGGAATGATAATGTGAAACAGAGTGTAAATGGAGGAAGGCATGAAACACAATGTATATAAATGGAACACAGTGTATACGACTTTCCTTTGTAAACTAATATAAAATATTTTTTTTAAATTCCAACTTATATATAACAATATGGCTTTTTTCCCCCTATTACAGATTAATTTCAAAAGACAGTATAAATGTTGAACACTAAAGATAACTAATAAAACATGTATGAGTATCTAAGATGTGAAGGGTAGGAACAGAGGGGTGAGGATTGGCAGAGGGGTAATCATAGGGTCATAACATTTGATGGTTAAAGAAAATGGGAAAGATCTGGTATGAAAAACAATTTTTTCAAATTACTATTAAATTTTATTACTTTTAATGAAAAAAAAATGTTGAACACTAAAAGCGGCTAGGTGTTTTTATATCTTGCAGGTGACAATGTAAACTGGTTTCTTCTCCTTGGAAAATTATTTGTTAGTGTATGCTAGGAAGCATAAAAATTAAGCTAGGAACCTAAGAAATTAATTCATAGGTTGCCTTCTATCTATAAACAATAACACCAAATATGAGAGTAATAATGTTCACAAAAATATTTACTATTATGTTAATTATAAAGCCAGTGAAGTCATTGCCGCCAAGCTGGAACTGACTCATAGCTGACCCTCCAGTGGATTTCCAAGGCTGTAAAGTGCACTGAGGAGATCGTCCAACTTTCTCCCAAGGAGGGCTGGTAGCTTCAAAAACCCAGAGGCACAACCTTTGGTTAGCAAGCAGCCCAAGTGCCGGTGGACTACATCCTCAGAGCTCCCTGTGAGTTATAAAAGTTTTATACAACAATGGCGAACAGTTCACTAAGTTATGACATAATAAAAGTAAAAGTAGGAACTAAAAATGATACAACAATGTTTGCAATAAAACAAAAATGGAGCACTGCAATACCAGAGGTACGTGGTTCAAATCTACCAGATGCTCTGCTGGAAAAGGAAGGGGCAATCTCCTCCTGTACCAGTCAGATCTGATTTGACGGTACACATAAAAAATAATACAATTAAAAAAAAATTTTAAAAAAAACAAACCAAAAATGGATATACACATGTATAAGGCAACACACACACACAAACAAAAAGTTAACAGTCATTATATTCATGTTGGAGGAATTCTGAGTAAATCTAGGTGCATTTCCTTTTGTTTAATTTTCTAAAATGTGAATAAGCAATTTTTATCATTTAAAGCATAAGATTAAAATTGTATTCTGGTTTGTTATTTACTATTAGTTGAAGACGAATTGATTCTAATTCAAGGCCCACAAGTCTGCAGACCAAAATTATTTCAAGACTGTGTCTATCTGAAAGTAGATTACCAAAGCATGATTTTCAAAGAACCCCTGGGTTTGAACCAATAATCTTTCTGAAGGAAAGAGTCAATTACTTATCACAGGTACCACCCAGGGAATCCTTTATTTTAAATTACTCTGATATCATTATTTTCTACCTAATAATTTTAATAATTATCTATCACTTTATACAAATCATCCTATAAAGTAGAAGCAAAAAGAATAAGAAAACTTTTAAAAATGTTAAATGTCATATTAACTAGATTGTGCTCACAAGTACACGTGGATTTGCACAAGCCCACTTTCTTCAAGAGTATTTGTATACATGGTTTGTATGCAAATTTTTCTTTTTTCTATATCTCTAACAGCATGAATAAATAAGTTTTAATACAGTAAATAGTGAAATTCACCAATTCTATTAGTAAAACTACCTCAACTCAACTCATTGTCAAAGAACAAGAACTCATTCATAGCTGACCCTCTAGTAGGTTTTCGGAGCTTGTAAATCACACAAGAGGAGACTACCCATTTCTGTCCTGGGAAGCAGCTGGTGGATTCGAACCATAGGCCTATGGGTTCATAAAGCAACTGCTTACCCACTAGGCCACCAGAATGTAAAACCTTAAATACAAACCACATTTTAATGGAGAAATATTAAAAAAATGTTTAAATTCTGTGAAATAACTCAGTCACAAAGGGACAAATACTGCATGGTGCCACTGTTGTAGAATGGGTCTGACATCAGGGTGGGGGTATGACAGAAAAAACTGGATAAATTATGTATATTGTATTGAAACAGATGAGGGAAAGAACAGATTAGAAGTGATATATGATTGAGTATTATGGTTAGCACAGGAATCCAGAATTAAGGTTGCATAGAGAAGTGTACTCGGGGTGGGGGGTGGGGGGAAGGGACATGGGAATTGTATACTAATGAAGGGGGGGGAAAACTCTTCACACAGCACTTTAACTAAACTACTTGTATTTTGAAGAAAATAATATATTCTTGTCATGATACAATTAAAACAAGACTGAAACAAAAAAAAAATGTTTAAATTCACAACAGAATCTCAAATCTGTTACTTGACCATTTATTGTTATTTCATTTTAAAAGCGAAAAGAGTAAGAAAGTTTTAAAATATACATCAGTTAGAGAAAACAGCACAATAAACTATTCTAAGAGAATATAAGTCATGCAGAAGTTAATGAATACATGAGCTTTTCTCTCAAGTTAATGGCTCTAGCACTGTGGAGCAGTCAGGATTTTGTACACAATAGTCTGTCTGTATTACAATAGAAGCCTTTCAAATCAGCAGCTGGTTCTCCAGCATTTATCAAATCAAAACATGACAGAATATTTCCAGATGTATTGTGCACTATATTTTCCAACTGAAACAAACCATTCAAAAAGCTGTGAGCCAGGACTTCATGAAATAAAAGATGAAGTTCAGTCACAAAGTCACTGATTTACTCAAGTATAAAGGGCCTAGAAGCAGATACATACTCAGACACTTAGAAGATTTTAACTATGTCTTTATTCTAAATTATTTACATATATATTTGTTGTTATTGTGGTTGCTAGGTGCCATCAAGTTCAGGATGGCGATCCTATGAACAACAGACCTGAACCCTGTCCTATCTTATCTACTGACACATCTCTGACAGTTCAATGCTGCTGTCACTATGTTAATCCATCTTATTAGATGGATTAAATAATCCATCACCCATTTCACTGACCCTCCATCTTTCCAAGCATGGTTTCCCTTTCTCAGGAACAGCAAAATGCCCAAAGTATGAAAGCTTCACCATCCTTGCCTCCAAGGATCACTCTGGCTGCACTTTCTCCAAGACATATCTGTTTATTGTTTTGACAGTCCATAGGATATTGAGCACTCTTCTCCAACACAACTCAAAGTCATCAACTCTTCTTCTGTCATCCTTATTCATCATTCAGTTTTCAGATGCATAACTAGTGGCTAAAAAGACCATGGCTGGAATCAGGCCCACCTTAATCTTCAAACTGACATCATTGCTCATCAGTAATTTGAGGAAGTCCCTGACAATTGTATGCCCAGTGCAATGCATTTCCTGATCTCTTGACTGCTCATACCAAGGATGTTGACTGTGGATCCAAGTAAGATTAAATCATTGACAATTCTAAACTTTTCTCAATCTATCATGATGTTGTTTATTGGTCCAGTGGTGAGGATTTGTGTCTTCTTGATCCTGAGATACAATCCATATTGAAGGCTATAATCTTTGATCTTCTGCAGCAAGCATGTCAAGTCTTCTTCACTTTGAGCAAGCAAGACTATGTCATCTGCATGTATTTCATATAAACATACGGAGGAGGAAGAGAGTTCCTTCTAGATCTTTTTTTAAAAGCATTCATTCAATGCTAATAAACACTTACTGACTAACTGTGTGTCTCAGAGGATTTGTCCAAAACCTGAAAACAAGGCAGTGAATGAAGTTTTGTTTTCTCTTGGAACTTATACTCTAGTATGCAAAGAAAAAAGAGGACACAGGTTAAAAAAATATAAATTTTAAATAATGATAAGGATAATGCTCTAAAAAGTGTAGGATAGGAGTTGATGTTGTCTACCAATGAGTAAGAACCAATCCACAGCTGACTCTTCAGTAGGTTTTCAAAGGCAACAAATTGCATGGGAGGAGACTGCCCATCATTCTCCCTTGGAGCTATGCATAACCTGGATCCGTCTAGAGGACCCTGTTGTTGTTGTGTGCAGTTTAGTCTGAATCAACTCATAGCTGACCCTCTAGTGGGTTTTAAGAGACTGTAAAACACAGGAGGAGACTGCCCACCTTTCCCCTAAGGAGCA